TTCGCTCTAAAACAAAAAATTGGTAAAGATCCGAAAAAAGCAAAAATTGTCGTAAAAGGGAAAGAAGGATTCAAGCAAACTCCAAACTCTCTCTTCGTAGAACCTCGGCATTGTTGTATTATAATGTTATTCTTCTGCCAACGAGGTTGTTAGGTGGAGACTTTATTAGTGGCCTGACGTTTCGACGAGATCGTCTTCCTCAAAGGCCCAGTCCACCACCGCAAGAGCAGAACAGCGCCACTAAAGGTCAGTTATAGTTACTGACTCAGAAGGATTTCGGCTCTCACCAGAAGGCAGGTAAGAAGTGAGCAATAGATTTGACACCAGCCGCGAATAGTTAATCATAATTATCGAAAATATTGACCAAGTAAGGATCAAGCCGTCTTCGATCTCAGGCATGTGCCCCGCCACGAGTTGTTCCCCAGATTTCTTACTGATGAGCACAGAGGGAGGAGACTTAACTTGTTTAGTCTCCGTCTAAGGGTCACGTGCGAAACGGAGACTAAACGACTTCTTTGCTCACCACCCCTTCCAAATAAATATAAACCAACTCATAGAATAATGTTCAATTTCGAATAAACATCGTTATCAGGATAATAATAAATAAATTAGTTCGATTCAACTTGTTTTTATTGTAAACATAATAACTTCATTCTATAGTATTACCTTAGCTAGCAGGTTTGGCGTAGAACTCGTTATTTTCTAAAACCGTAACGATGGCAGAAGTGGACTTGAGCAAAAGAGACGACTATTAATATCATAAACGAAGAGCGTCTTGAAGTGACACTTGAGAGCACGCCGAAACGATCAAAAAACTGTGAAAAACAAGACAGGAACACCTCAAGAAAATTTGTGATCTACTTGTTCTTAAATCTCTTTTACGACACACATAGGATGTGCTAATGTTTTACTGCCATTGACAACTTAGTTGTAGAAATAATTTCAGGCGTTTATTCATAAAATAATAGTTTCTAGGCGTTTATAGAAATAAGGTTTAGTTTTACGTCAGTTATTAAACCTCGAAGGGTTGCTAAGAACAGACCCAGTGATTTTCACACAATCCAAGAACCTAATCATAAAATCCTTTTCTCATTGTCTGCCTGCAGCCTTCCGGTGACCTTCAGCACTTTTGTTGAGTGTTAGAAAAAAAAAGACATGGAAAGGTTTGCTCGACCCCAATCGGAACCCCTGCACTTGACCGAAAGAGAGCCGGCTCGGAGCGGGGTTAAAAGGACATCTGCCTCAGAATTTATCGCTATTGAAGGCAGAATTCCTGCCTTCTGTCTCTGAAATGCACTGTGACTCAGTTCTCGTTCAATACGCGTTCAACACTA